TTGCATCGTCACCAGGTCTTTTGCATCTTCACCAGGTCTTTTGCATCTTCACCAGGTCTTTTGCATCGATACCAGGTCTTTTGCATCTTCACCAGGTCTTTTCTTTTGTTCTGGGGTTGATCTGAATATTTCAGACCAAAGCACATTCATCTCTGGGACACAGAACCCATCTCCTTACTGAGCAGTATGGTGGCTGGACATTCACATCTTGATTGTACTTGTGTATAATTGTTTGTACAGATGAATGAGGCACCTTCAGACATCTGGACATTGCACTCAAGGATGAACCAGACCTGTGCAAGTCCACAGTTCTCTTCCTGATATGTTGGCTGATTTTTTAGACTTCCTCATGATGTTACACAATGAAGCAGAGTGTTTCAGGTGTTCCTTAAATTACATCTACAGGTGTGTCTCCAATTAACTCTGATGTTATCACTAAACCTATTAGAAGCTTCCAAAGACATGACATCAAATGTCCCAAATTGTTTTAAGGCATAGTAAACTTAGTGTAAACTTTTGACTTGATAGTAAGTTAAAAAATTGCCTTAAAATTTTTTTCACTCTCATTATTCTGGCATTTTGCAAACAGAAACTATTTTGGTAATCCTAATTGATCGGGAAAAGTTTATTCTGATTTCACGTCAGACGGTGTGAAAAAAAATGCATGTGTCTATTTAAATAGTGTATGTAAACTTCTGGTTTCAACAGTATATAAAGAAATATCTGCAATTTTGTTGTACTGGCCCGGTACAATGACAATAAACTCTTTCTGTTTTGATTTTTTTCCCAGCTCCAGGTCTGCTTCTCTTTGGAAGGTTGAACAGGTAAGGGGTTGGACGTTCTCATCTGGATTATCTAGCTGTACATCCTTCAGTTAGCTGGTATAAACTTAAGGACAGGGCGGCACAGTGGCACAGTTTATAGAGCTGCTGCCTTTCAGCAAGAAAGTCGCTGGATCTAATCCCAGCCGGGGGACCATTCAGGGTGGAGTTTGCATGTTCTCTCCGTGCATGTGTGGGTTTTCTCTGGGTACTCCAGTTTCCTCCCACAGACCAAAAACATTCATGTTAAACTGATTGTTAACTCTAAATTGTCTCTAGGTGTGAGTGAGAGAGTGAATGGTTGTTTGTCTCGTTTGTCTCTGTGTGTCCCTGTGATGGACTGGAGAACTGTGATTGCCACAGTGATTGCTGGATATGGGCACCAGTGACTCCCACGACCCAAAAAGGAAGAAGCGGGTAAAGATAATGGATGGATAGAACTTAAGGACATGGCTGACCTTGCTACCAGGAAGGAATTCTGGGAGGAAAGAAACAACTTGCAGGAATGTGGATTTTATGCCTATTAAAGAAAAACCAGGTGAAGTTTCCAATCCTAATATTGTCTTCAGGATGTGGCATCAACTTTGACTGAAATCTGAAACAAAACTGTGAACCATGGGTGACAGGGCCTTTTGATCTGCTGCTCCTCGTCTGTGGAACAACCTCCCTGACCAGCTAAGGATTCACCAGACTACAGAAAGCCTTAATAAAGGACTGAAAACCTTCTTATTTAAAATATTGTATCATATTGGAAGGTATTTTTAATCTTGTTTCAGTTTTTCAATCCATGTTTTATTCTCTCTAGCTGTTTTATATTGTAGCACTTTGAGCTTTTAAAATGTGAAGTGCAGTACAAACTGAATTATCATTATTATCATATGAAGTAGTTACTGTATCTACACAAAATCAAATCCTAAAACATGACTCCATTTCCCATTGTTTACCTTATAGTAGTGATGACTTGCTCGTCATTTAGAGCAGTTCCTTCTTCAAGAGCAACAGACAAGGCTCCGAGCGCCGTCCAGTGTTCGGGGTCACAGGGGTATCGACCTGACAGGATGTTGCTCCTGGCCTCCTCATAAAGAAGTCTCAACACTCCCTCGTCGTCTATCTGCTCAGAGAGTGGCAACACTTAACCAGCAGCTGACTGATGAACCAGTAGAGGGCAAAGGAGACCACTGTCTTAAATCAGTCAGAATTCAACTTTATTTAGCTGTTCACAACATGTAAGATAATTGTTTATTACAACTAGAGAACCCCCCTTTTAAATGCCCCAACTATTCCTTTAATAGTTTTTGAATTTAATCATTTTTGTAATTTTAGCAAAATGCCCTGAGCTGAATAAATGTTGCTGTGTTGCAGAAATACATTATAAAGAAGGTGCATTTTAGATAAAGCTATTGTGAAAGGGCATCCACTTATTGTGAGTCAGGAACGTTAGAACTGCTGGCTCCAACAAGAGATGAAGAACCCTGACATCAAAATTCACCCATACGTAAGAAAAATGAAGGTTTAGCAGAAAAACACGATACCTGCAGCTCTTTAGCTTTGGGATAAAACACGTTGCGTCTGTACTGGAGATAAGGTTCATCTGAGGAAAGAGCAGAAAACAAACGATGCGTCAGCGGTTGCTGACTTTCCACATCGTTGAAGTCGACACGAGAAGAGATTCAGCCTCACAGAGTGAAGGACCGAGGGCACAGAGACAACTCAAGCTCCCACTCTGCTGGGGCCCACGGTCCTGGACTGTGAGTGGGATTTAATCCACAGAAAAAAGAAACAACAGCGTTTAAGTGATTACACAACCCTTTCATGAGACTATTAGAGGTGTCGTTGGTGATGAGCTGTCCCTGCAGTCTTTGTCCCGGGTGCACTAAGAGGTCACCTGTCACACAGACATCATGTGTGACGCTCCACTCAGACAGGTAAAATGATCACAAACATACGAGTCACTGGCTTATGGCTCAAAACTGAGTCAATAAATGTCACTCTGATGTGTCATCACTTACTCACAGACATTACATTACTTCTCAAAAAATAAAATAAATTTTTTTCTGTTCTCACTTTATTAGGTTTTAGTTCTTCCTACATGGACTGACTGAATTACTCTGCAGCCTTAAAGCAGCTGTAAGCTTGAAGGAGTTCTTTCATGCAGCACTCACTTTGTGGATTAAGCATCAAACATTAAATGTATTTTTATCGGACTGCAACACGTGATATAAAAAACATCTCTGAACAGCTTGCTTAGTTCAACCATCATAAAAAAAATAACAATATATTAAAAAGTGGCCACAGAAATAATATTAGACACCGTAAATAAAAAAATAAATGAATGTATGTTTTTGTTTTTCTTCTTCTTTCGGCTGCTCCCTTCTTAAAGGTCACCACAGCGAGCTAACACGCACAAACACTTGGCAATTTTGTTTTTCCGCCGGACGCCCTTCCTGACGCTACCACAGCCCTCTGTGTGGAGCAGAGCTGCCATCTATGGCACCCGGGGGAGCACATGGTGGGGTTAAGGGTCTTGCTCAAGTGCCCAGGGTGGGGCAAATGAGGGTGGAGGCAGGTGTGGGTGCTTCACCTTTGCCACCCACTTTTTGATATTGTCAGTCCGAGGAGTTGAACCAGCGACCTTCTGATCACAGGCCCACCTTTTCTAACCTCTGCACCACCACTCCCCCACAGAAATAATATCACACAGAGAAAATACTTAATTTTCAGTTTTTTAAATGTAAGATTTTCTTTAAAACCAATGCCTGTATTAGGTGAAATACACTTAAAATGTATTGTCTTCACGACCTCCCACCACCATGGGAAGTAGACGATCAAGTGTGTGTGCGCACGTTTGCCTGTTAGCAAAATATCTCATGAATCAGAGAATGGATTGTAATGAAACGTAATCACTGGAAGCACATCTGCAACTGATCAACTTTCAAAGCCATAGCTACTCAACCTTAACTACAAAAAAAGGATAGAACCATGTCAGTTTTACAGATACTGAGCTAAAAGGTAGTGCAGGAGTAGCTGGGAGTCATCTCCATCACTACACTGAGCAGGCGATGTGCATTCAAGGAATGATAATATTGTATAAATTTGTTATCTACTGAGTAACGAGGTAACTATTCTTCCACTGGGTTTCTTTGCCTGATGCTAAGTGATTTTCTACACCGTCAAGCCTTAAAATGGATAAACAATAAACAGGAAATGGCTGCAGAAGAATGGTAAATGCTAAATGAACTGTACTTATATAGCACCTTTCTATCTAATCAAAACACTCAACGCACTTTACAACACAATCTGTGCCTCATTTACCCATTCATACAGCACTCTACTAGATCTATACAAAGAATAATTGAACAAATCATTCTAAAGAGACTGATTAGAGCTTGATCACATTCATACGCCAATGGGACACGCATTGAAGGCAGTGAGGGGTCAGTGTAACGCCCAGGCACTTCGGCATGTGACTGCAGGTGGAATTGAACCACCAACTCCTGCAATGGAGGACGACGCTCTAACCACTCAGCTACAGCCACCCCTAATAGAAGAAGAAGTCAACTGTACACTGTATGCAAAATGTCGGTTCTTGGAAGCAGTCCACAGGGTCGCTTGAATAGTAAATGAAACCACATTTAAATTCCGCAGGTATGTTTGAGACAAAGCTAACAAGTTTATATGAACACAGTATTTTGAAGACATTCTTTATGTTTTAGTGAATATTTGTTGGAGTTCATAAAATGATGGCAAAATGAAATAATGTTTATAGCTTTACTGTAACTTATGATTAAATACATTGCTACCAGCTGTGAAACTTCCGCAGATTTCACCCTCTCTCTAAAAAAAAGCATTTATGTTTTAAGACTTTCACACCACCTCTCACTGTTTCTTATACTAACCTCATCACACAACCAAGTCTCAGCATTTTATGGGTCAAATCACTAATCAGACACAGGATGAAGAGAGAAGCAGTCCGAGTCATACCTACAGCTCATTTAGCTAAATTCTTTCAGGGACAAACAGTTACAAGAAAAAATGCAAACCCAAGCAGAAGAGCTCCAGCTGACTGCTTCAGGATAAAAACTCAACCTGATCTAAAGTCTCACCCTGCAAAATGTCCTCCTCTGATGCATCGGTGAAGCGATACAACAAGTCCTGCCACTGCCTGCATAATTTGTACGGTCGGTGTCTCGTCTTTAATTGTAGTTCTGCAGAATGAAAAGGAAATAATAACACAGTTAATTGCATGGTGAGCTGTTTAATATTTATCATTTAAAAAAAAGAGAAGTTCTTGCCGAGCAGTGGAGAGCAAAGCCAGAAGGAGAAAGCATCCTGCACAGATTCAGGAACCTGCAGGGCCTCACGAACGCTGTGACCCAACTCCTGCACGGTGACACTGCTGAGCCCTTCCAGAGACAAATGAACTGCGCTCTCACCGAACAAGTACACGAGCACATCTTGAGCTGCTGGAGCAAAAACACAAAAACTGTTTGCAACAGTGCAAGGATCAGTCGAACATACTGAAGAAATTTAAAAAAAGAAATGTATCGAAACATAAATTTACTCCAAAAGAAAAAGAAAAAAAAAAAGATGGAAGAGTTAATTTATTCTTCACGAGTTTGTTGTGTCATACCACGGGAAAGTGTCGCAGAGGAAGCAACACTTCCTCTTTGTGAGTGATTATCCGACAGATCTGGAGGAAAGCTGCAGTCATCTCCTTCCATCGCTTATCTGAAACACAAAGACCGAAACCAGAGCGGACACCAGTGTGAGAGGGTAATAAAATATATCTGTCACAATGAATTCTAGAAAAAATAAGATAATTTCTAATTTGATGGCAGCAACACATCTCAAAATGTTGGGACAGGTCCATGTTTACCACGATGAAGCCTCCCCTCTTCTTTTACCAGCAGTCTGTAAATGTCTGAGACCAGCACCTGGAGGTTTTTGTGGGGAATTAATGTAGTCCCATTCTGGTCTGCTTTCTAGCTGTTCAACAGTCCCAGGTGTTCTATGACAGGTTTTTGTTTCATAATGCATCAAACGTTTTCAAATGGTGAGAAATCTGGACTGCAGGCCAGGTCAGCACCCGAACCAACTATGAAGTCATGCTGTTGTAACAGATGCTGTATGAAGAGGACTTGCACTGTCTTGTTGAAATATGCAAGGTCTTCCATGGTAAAAAATAGTGTCTTCTGGATGAGAGCATATATTGTTCTAATATAAATATAAATTAGTGCAATGATGGTGCCTTTGCAGGTTTGTAGTCTGCCCATGCAATAGGAACTAATGCACAAAGAGACAGGCATTTTGTATCTGGACACTGTGGCTGAGTGGTTAGAGCAGTCGTCCTCCAATAGGAGAGTTGGGGGTTCAATTCCACCAACAGTCACATGCCGAAGTGTCACTGGGCAAGACATTGAACCCCTCATTGCCTCCGACGTGTGTCCTATCGGTGTTTGAATGTGATAAAGCATTGATTAGTCTTTGTATAGATAGTGCTGTATGCATGGGTAAATGAGGGCACATATTGCGTTGTAAAGAGCTTTGAGTGTTTTGATAAGATAGAAAGGTGCTATAGAAGTACAGTTCATTTACTATTTATCTGTTATAATAAGTTGTGTGGTCCTTCTCCTCCTCCGTACAAATAATGTGGTGACGTCTGTGGTTTACAAAAAAAAAATTCAAATTTCAGTTAAAATGAGCTTTGGCCCAAACATTTGATGTATTTACCATGTTCCATTAAATTTGAAAATCATTGTCTTCTGTTGTTATTTACATTTGACACAGTGTCCCTCCCAACCTTTTTCTGAACTTGGGTTGTCATTTGTTCCTCTGGGAGGTTTTACATCCTCTTTCTGAGTACATGCAAATGCACATTGTAGTGGCACACAGAAAAAAAGGTGGATATGTTGCTTAAACATGCTACTGTTCTGTTACAAATACTCTTAAATGGATAAAACAGTGAGTTCTGTACAGTCCAGTTTTGACGCCACCATGTTTTCAGAGAGACTGGGCCCAGGCCAGAGCTGCTGACCTCACCCTGCTGGTCTGGAGTTGGTCTCCATCGAGCCCCTCAGTCTTATCTTGTTCAAAAACACAGTTTAAAACTTCTCACGGTCAGACAAACAGGAAACAGGAAGAGGGGTCATTAAAGCTGGCACCACCATCTGAAGGTGTACGAGACAAACAAACATCTTGTTTCCCAAGTTTACCAGGACGACTGTCTCAACCTGTTCACACAACCGAACAACGACAGAGGAATTATTCCAGGAAATATCCGTCAACAATGAATCATATCACCGTTACCCAGTTCTAGTAGCGTGGAGTCAACTCTGTGAGCTGTTTCAACAACACTGAGTGGACTCAGAATTTAATATTTCTTTATTTTATCACTTTATCTATCTATCATGATGAGCTAACTTTCAGCGTTTGTCCCAGTAACTCGTCAAAAGCTTTTGAAATAACAAAAATGCTGTTTACACACCTGTAAATTATGGGAAATATCCTTCCACTTGCTGTTTTTGCGCTGAATAGGATTCTAATAATTTTTCTAAACGCAGCTAAGTACGTTAGTTAGTCAGCATCTCGATGTTTAGGTTTCTTCCTGGCCACGGCTAGCCAGTAGCTTCAAAAACTAGCTTTCCGGGCAGCGAGTGTGCAACCGCTGAACGAGTCGATTCTTTTGAACGCGTTCTTCTCTGATGCAAAAATCCAGTCAAAATGAAATCATTCTGTTCTTTTAAGTACACCTATCTTTAAATAATGTGATTATTAAAGTTGTTAAGTGTAAAAAGTTTAAAATCTCATTGATAATAAATATACATTGGGCTATATGACGGGCTGCGTCACGTAAGTTCAAAAAGATTGGATCTCAAAATGAAGTTGGAAAGTCAGAAAGCGCGCAGTCAACTGGTCACGTGATTATTACGTCATCACCACTGTAATCCCTAATGTCTGTGTTTTAACCCAGCAAATAGATTATTGTGTTTATTCAAAAAGATTTTGCTTTCTTTGTAGGATTTAGTTGATTTTTCTACGAAATGACAGAAAATGATTACCGCTCTAGTAAAGCCCTGTAAGTTAGGTAATCCTCCATAGATAAAAGAAAACAAAATAAATAAAATAAAGTCCTGGTGGTAAAAATGAATGTGCCCAAAGTGTGTATTATCTCATGAAGTGAATCCCTTATGGCACAGTTATCTTAAATTAAATGCAAATTGCAAGTATTCAATAAATCTAACTTCATAGTTCAAAACAGTCATTGATAAATTACTTTGCTCAGTACAACAAAATGATTTATTGACAGCAATGGACTCCCTGGATCAAAACAAAAACTAAAAGAAGAAAAACATAAACATTTGTATAAATAGAAAAATTATATTTAGTAACAGTCTGTCCTGTAAAATTAGAAAATAATTATAATCAAACAGTGTTGCCCATAAATCTTATTTTTGACTCTATCACAAAAAGAATCTTAATGCAAATTCTACACTTAGAAATGAATGCTGCAAGTATTGTTTTAATTGAACACATTATTGTTTCTGAGCCATTAAAAATAAGAATTTGAAGCCTTTGTACAGTTTACTCTGCATCTTACAGCCATCTGACACAGGTGAGGAAATGCAAAGGCAGCAGGATGAGGATTACAGCAGCAAATGGGTTTAGCAGCTTAAACAAAGGTGGCAGGACAGAGGACACACTTGATGGCTTTAACAGCTACTTAGATCGCTTAATCAGTCTACTTAATCACATTTTATTCACTGATCAGGAGGAGAGAGGCAAGGAGACAGGACGCGTCTTGAAGCACTGAGTGTTGTTCTGTCTGGTCGGTGTGTGTTTTATTTACACCAGAAAACAGGAAATAAGGCACTTCACTCCATAAGGCATTCAGTAACTTCAAATTTTATTAAATTTTCTGTTAAATTATGTCACACAGTCCTGTTGGGCAGCAGAGCGTCATGTCTCTCTACGGTCACCTGAGATGTAAGTGAACAGGACATTTGTAGGACTGTAAACGCAAAACCACGAGAGAGTGACCGTTCATACAGTACACACGGGATAATTTAAACAAATAAACAGTAAAAGTTCTTTTAAGCCTGTCTGAAGTGCTCCAAAATGAATAGAAACCACAAGTTCATCTTGATTTCTTTTGGATAATGAATATGCCATACTAGAGTAAATTTAATAAAATACATTTAATTAATCTTATCCGTGATTAAAAAAAACTTTCTAATTGTGTTAAATTCACAGAAATGTCCTCATTGTGTTCCCCTTTGTAAAGTAAAATAAATTATACCTCTCTTTGTAGCAACTATTTACATGTGTGAACAGGGTGTGGGGTTCAGGCAGTGGAGGGGGCTGATCCTGGGGTTCCCTCCTGAACCTGGTTTTTGAACAAGAAGAACTTCAGCACGGGGTTGGTGTACTCCACGATGGTTTCTTTCACTCCTTTCTCCAGCAGGTATCCTTCTGTCTCAATCTCTGTGTTCTCCTTCCCCGCTACTGCTTCCATGGCGGTCTGCAGGAAGCGCAAGCTCACCAGGACGGAGGCCTGCAGAGGGAGGACGTTTTAACACTGGGTGTTAGTCAGAACCAACGCAGGACTCATGCCCCTTCACACCCTGCCACAAAGTAAAAATCCAACCAGGACAAATAAAAACATTAATAAAATACATTAACAATAACCTACAAAGTATTTTTATAGCTTGAAATAGATATAAAAACATGTTTTTACCTATATAAATGTATCTTCCTGTTATATTCCTTTACACATTAATGACACTCTTACTTTAAATAAACAATAACACTCTTATTTTAATATGTGTCTAAAATACAAAAAGTACACTTTGGTGTATTATTGACGTATGTAAAAAGTACTTAAATGTATGTACACAAAGTGGTCTAGTGGTTCAGCAAGCACTGGTCTCAGACACCTAAATATACAGGTATGCACTCTCAGGACATTATTACTTGCAGTGTCCCCTCAGTGCGGACTGAACTTGGAAAAAGTACCTTCTCCTACTCCGCTCCTGTTTCCTGGAACATCTTGCAAAAGATCTGAAGCTCTCAACCTTGACCTCTCTAAGTAGCTTCAAACATCTGCTAAGTTCATGGGAAAAACCAATGCAGACATGTTCCTATTTTTAGTTTTCTACATCGCCTTATAATCTAGCTGTTTTTTGTTACATTTTTAATACCATTTTATTTTCACTTGTTATTCTTAATTTTTCTGTAGCCGGTTTTCGTCCTGGCCGTGGAACACTGGACCAGCTCTACACTCTCAGCAGGGTCCTGGAGGGTGCGGGGGAGTTTGCCCAACCAGTCTACATGTGCTTTGTGGACTTGGAGAAGGCGTTCGACCGCGTCCCTCGGGGGGCCCTGTGGGGGGTACTCTGGGAGTATGGGGACTGGGCCCTTTGATACGGGCTGTTAGGTCCCTGTATGACCGGTGTCAGAGCCTGGTCCGCATCGCCGGCAGTAAGTCGGGCTTGTTCCCGGTGAGAGTTGGACTCCGCCAAGGTTGCCCTTTGTCACCAATTCTGTTCATAACTTTTATGGACAGAATTTCTAGGCGCAGCCAAGGTGTTGAGGGGATCCGTTTTGGTGGCCTTAGGATTGCATCTCTGCTTTTTGCAGATGATGTGGTCTTATTGGCTTCATCAGATCGTGATCTACAGCTTTCGCTGGAGCGGTTCGCAGCCGAATGCGATGCGGCCGGGATGAAGATCAGTTCCTCCAAATCCGAGGCCATGGTCTTGAGCCGGAAAAGGGTAGAGTGCCCTCTCCGGGTCAGGGAGGAGGTCCTACCCCAAGTGGAGGAGTTCAAGTATCTTGGGGTCTTGTTCACGAATGAAGGAAAAATGGAGCGTGAGATCGATAGGCGGATAGGTGCAGCGTCTGCAGTGAAGCGGGCGCTGTACAAGTCTGTCGTGGTGAAGAGAGAGCTGAGTCAAAAGGCGAAGCTCTCAATTTACCTATCGATCTACGTTCCCACCCTCATCTATGGTCACGAGCTTTGGGTTGTGACCGAAAGAATGAGATCTCGGATACAAGCGGCCAAAATGAGTTTTCTCCACAGGGTGTCTGGGCTCTCCCTTAGAGACAGGGTGAGAAGCTCGATCATCCGGGAGGGACTCAGAGTAGAGCCGCTGCTTCTCCACGTCGAGAGGAGCCAGTTGAGGTGGCTTGGGCATCTGTTTAGGATGCCTTCTGGACGCCTCCCTGGTGAGGTGTTCCGGACACGTCCCACCGGAAGGAGGCCCAGGGGAAGACCCAGGACACGCTGGAGGGAATAAGTTTCTCGGCTGGCCTGGGAACGCCTCGGGATTACCCCGGAAGAGCTGGCCCAAGTGGCTGGGGAGAGGGAAGTCTGGGCCTCCCTACTTAGGCTGCTACCCCCGTGACCCGACCCCGGATAAGCGGAAGAAAATGGATGGATGGATGGATTCTTAATTTTTATGCATCCTTTATAATTGTCTATTGTTGTCTTTGTTGTCCAATGTTGCCATCATTCTTTGTTAAAATCAGGTCTCTCTTGTACATAAGTCCATGAGGCTCAGTGGGATTAACCTGTATAAATAAACGTTGAATGAATGAATAAATACTCAGAATTATGCTTTACCATGTACAATTTATGTGTACTTAATAAAAAAATAGGTTTACAAAATTACTATGCCTAAAATCTTCAAGTTATTACTCTACCTTATTAGATTTAGTATACTTAGTGCAATTATGTATTACTTGGGCGTAGCTGCATCCTGATGCATACCAAGAGAGTCATGGTAGGGTGGGGGTATAGACCAAGCCACTGTCTTAAAGGTTGTGTAGGTCTTGGGCAGAGTACTTACAATGATATCAAGGGTTTCTTTCTTTTATTTATTTATTTTGGAAAGTTGGATGTCTTTCGGATGAAAAATGAAACGTATCTACATTTTTTTGCTTTGTTTTGTTTTTTGTTTTTATGAATGTCCAGAGGATCAGATTGAACTTTTTTGGATAGTCGAGTTTATTTCTGTTCATTTTGTTATAAGTTTAGTTGTGTATTTCTTGTGTTTTCATTTGGATTTTCTGGTTTTCAGTTTATTTGCTTGTTTCTTCCCTGTGTTATCGGCCTTTGTTTCCTTTAGTCAACCTTGGCTTCAGTCCTATACATCTGCTGTCCATTTACTCATTAGCCCCAGCTGCACTCTCTCAGTGATCACCCTTCCCAGCCCAATTATTTTCCCAAGCTTTCACTCACTCATTATTCAGTCATACTGTTTGTGTCTGTGTCCTTGGTTCTTCTCTTTGTGCATCCTTCTTTGGCATGCTTTTAATTTTTCCTTGGGGACAATAAAATATGTATCTATGTATCTATGTATCCATCCATCCATCCATCCATCCATCCATCCATCCATCCATCCATCCATCCATCAATCAATCCATC